CATAAGCGGTCGTTCGCACTTGCGGTAGAGAGACACGGGGGCGGCATCTTGTTCGAGTAGAAGCAGGAACGCGAAGCGAAGTTGGGCTGCAGTGTACCGGAGCGCAATGAGCTCGTCGAGCACGGCGTGGGCTTCGTCGTCGCGGACGAATTGGCCCGTGGCCCGTAGCGTCTCCTCGTAAGTAGGATGCACCTTGCCGTTGTGCGTCCTGCAATCGGCAAAGGACGCCTTGGGAAAGTTCAGCAGGATGTGTCGGAGGTAGAAGACGTCGCCTTGCTTCGGGAACTTCATCTCGAGGCGGCACAACGGGGGCTCGCCACGCAGCCTCGGGTACACGAAGAACTGTTTTGGCGGAGGGGCGCGGTCCAACACGGCAGCGGCCTGCGATGGGCACGATGGGGACGTCATGTAGGTTTCAAAATACTCGTGGTAGGCCAATGCGTCGAACGGTGGACCCGTGGGTCGGTAGAAGTACCGTTGAAGTGGTGACACGTGGGCTTCAAGCGCATTGGCCTCCTCTCCTTCCGCGAAAACAATCCATTGTTGTCCGGGCAGGTGCGCGGGCAAGCAGACGACGTGCGGCCATCTGTCGTAGGTGTTGTATCCGAACATGCGCCATGCTGCCTCCGTTGCGCACAGATATCTGCCTTTGAGCCACTCGGAAATCTCGTCGGCAACCTTCGCATCTAGCGTGACGTCGTAGTTCGTCTTGGAAGGGCCTTTGAACAAGTATTTGTATAGGTATTCGAAAAGTTCCACCGTCGCTGCGTACTTGACGTTGGCGTGCCCTTCCCAGAGTTGAAGCACCACGGGGCTGTATTCGACGATGAGCCGATTGAGGCAGACGTCGCGTTTTCCGTACATGGCCCGGCCAGATCGGCAATTCGGGCAGTGGCCGCCGCATGGTCGCCGCCGGTGGTGGGGGTAGCCGCGCGCGTCGAAGACCGCGTCGTCCGAAAACGGCCAGGGGCATCCTTTCACGCAGTCTTGAGCGGGGTCTTGAGGGTGGCAAGAATGGTTGCAGCTGTGGACCATGTGGCGAAGGACGAGTTCGCGGAGTCGTCCGTCTTCGCGGGGTAGCTCACAGGAGATGAGAAGGTCGACCTCGTCCGGAGTGGCGGGCGGGTTGAGGACAGCCAGAGCGATGTGCGCATGTGGAAGGCCGCGGAGGTGGTACTCGATCACTTTGGTGAGGTAACGGCGAGCCCCGCAGAAAGAGTCCTTCAAGAAAGCGACGATCTTCTGCAGCCGGTCGTGAAAGACGCGGACGACGATGTCGGGTCTGTCGGCGGCGGTTTGTCCGCGGTGCAGTTGACCCACAATCTCTGGTCAGTAGGGGTTGCAAGTCAACGTGATGAAGAACGACGGCGGGCCTTTGCGTCGCGCCAGCTCCAGGGCGTCAACGAGCAGTCGGCGAAGATGGCGAGGTGATCCTGGGACGCTCGATGGCAGAACGTACTGTTTGCCAACCGTTCCGGCCTTGGCGGGGTCGTTGGCGAGCACCTCGCAGAGCTCCTGGCGAGTGGCGCTACGCTGTCGTTGTTGATGACGGATGTGGGAGAACCTCTCGTCTTCCATGCGCGTGAACATGTTGATGAGCCACTCGTTGAGCAGCCGTCCGCAAAGGTGCATGTGGGGGAGTCCGAGCAATTGTTGGCGATACCACCACATCTGTGTTACCTTGTGGCCGGTGGCGCTGATGACGTCTGTGCTCCAGCCGCGGCCGCCGAACGGGTACCACAGGGGGTAACTCAAGGGTTCGTAAAACGGGCTCAGCGGGTGCAAGTAGGACGGCGTGTCGTGGCGCTTGTATGTGAAGACGATGGACCTTTTGTTGCGGTCAGGGGTGGGGTCGACGTCCAGTATTCCAGCCACTTCGTTGACTCCCTCGTGCCACTCCAAGATGATATTCGCGTCTGCTTGTTGAGGCCGTGCGCCGCGGCGGTGACGAAGCGGTCTTGCGGATCGTGCGCCAGGTATCGCAGAGGGACCTGGTCTGCCATAGAGAATACGCGTCGGTAAATCGTCCCATGGATACGGATGTTTGCTGGCCGGCGGGCGTCTCCGAATCGAAGCTCTTTGTCTCCAGTGCTGCACTGGATTTCGTGTTGTGCGAGGGCGAAGAGGCTGTTGTACCGCCTGGACTGCGCCGTGAAGCCAGTGTACCGAAGCTCGTTGGTGGCGGTGTCGCACATCTTGTCTCCGCGGTCGTCTGCGAGCGGCCAATGGGAGGCGAAGATGTCGCAGAGGGGTTTGTCGGGGCATTGGAAACAGGTGTCAAAGTTGACGAAGTACTTCCCGGCATTACAGAACGTTTTGGACTCCGAGTTGAACAAAAGCGCGCCGCAGTGGTCGCATTGGGTGGACATGTCCCCCAAAGAAATGGAGGCGAGGGTCGACGGTGGGCGGCCGCCGTCGAGGGCGGGCGCGGCACAGTTGAAGCAAATTGGGCCAACCCGCTTCGGGGCCCGCTGTGGAAACATGTCGGTGGGCCAGCAGACGCCGCACCTGGAGCAGACGATGTCGGTATGCTGTCTAAGTGCCCCGCTACGCTGAAGCGCGGCTCTTGTGCAGGTCAAACATTTGCGGGTACTTCGTCGCCACTGGTCCAGCGCGTACTCAGCCTGCGCGAGTTCTGTCCCGCAGCTGGCGCAGGGTCGTAGAAGTACAGGGGCATTAGCGGTGGATCAGCACTCCTTGCATCGGGCTGTCCGAGATGAAGAGTGCAACTGCGTGGCGGAAAAGGCAGACGTGTCCAAGCATCGATGGCATTGCGTGCAAGTCAAGGTTGAGCGCTTCGGTGGCATTTGACGGCCGTCACGCGATAAGGCTTGAGCCTGCAGCAGCGGCCGGCATGGCAGGAGGGACCATGGAGAGCGCGGGGGAGCGGCGTGGGGAGGTGGGAGGGAATGGGCAGGGGTGGTAAGAAGGGAAAGAGGAGAGCCGGTAGGCTCTGAAGACGGTCTCGGAAGGATACGGACCACCATGTGAGTATGAAGGCTAGATGAACATGTTGGGGCGCTTGTGGTATTTTGGAGGTGGAAGTCCGTCTGGGATTCGCGGTGCGAGGTAGCGTTCGGGAGAGGCGGTTAGGAAGAGCAGGAAGGAGAGCTGGTAGGCTTTTGTGGGAGACCGGGGGTGGTTCGGAGTGGCACTGGGGCCTCTTGCAATATGTCGGGGGGCTTTGGGGGCCTTTACGGGGCTTCGGGGCGTTCCAGGGGACTTCTTGGGGCCTTTTGGGAGCCTTTTGGGGGCCTCTTGGGGGCTTTGGGGGGTGTTTTCAGAGCCTTCTGGAATCCTTGCAGGTGTTCTTGGGTGCCTTTGGGGGCCTCTTGGGGCCTGTTGGGGACTTTTGGGCCTCTTTGGGGGCTGCTTGGATGCCGTATTGAGGCCGCGGAGGCTGATAGGAGGCGATCAAGTTAGAAGGCGGAAATTATCAATTTCCTCTAGGTTTTTGATCGATCTCAGCCTCTCGGGGGGCTGTTCGGGGGGCGCTTGAAGCCCTTGTGGGCTCGTTGGCTGCCTATGGGGCCGTCTTGAGGTTATCTTGAGCCGTCTTGGAACGTTTTTGGGCCGTCTCGGCAATTGCTCGAAGCCATCAAGGGGGTCTGGGGGGCCGAAGTCGAGGTCCGGGAGGCCCCCGTGGCGGTCCAGGAGGCTCCAGTGGGCCGCCAAATCCTATTGGGGTGGGTGGGTGGGACCCTTCGGTGTCAGTTTCCTGGTGTGAGATTACTAAGATAGGAATAAGCACACGTGCACGTATATATATATATATATATATATATATATATATATATATATATACACACACCCTTAAAGAGAGAGAGAGAGAGAGAAGAGAGAGAAAGAGACAGACAATACACATCAAGACGGGGAGAGAGAGAGAGAAAGAGAGAGAGAGAGAGAGAGCGGAGAGAGGGAACATCTACACCAACAAAAAAAGAGCGCGGGTGAGATAGTTCACAGGGCGGTGGAAAGAGAGAGCGGAGGGGGAGAAACAGAGAGAGAGAGAGAGAGCGAGATAGAGAGAGAGGGAGAGAGAGAGAGAGGGAGAGAGAGAGAGAGACACACACACGCACACATATACTTATAGATATTGCATTTAGTGGGAGAAGGATACACGCAGGTGGCTGCGGGCCGCTGGCTGTGAATGTCAAGTTTTGGTGGCGAAGCGCTGGCGACTCGGCGCTGCGTTTCGCACGCAGCAGCGCAGGCAGCGAGCGAGAGTCCGACACCTGAGCGCAAGACGTTTGCACCACTTGGGCGCCCAGGCCGTCCCAGGAGATGCCCGCCAGCCTCGCCACCAGCCGTTCGCATCTCGCCGAGCGCGCACGTCGAACCATGTGTTTGGCCATCGCCCCTGGGCGCGCAGGACATCTTTTGGTGCTATGGTCACGGGCGCGGGGGAGCAGACATGCGTGCGAGCGCTGGCCGAACCCCTGATCGATGGAATCACACGGGAGAGGCCGCGGCCAGCGTCTTCGGGGGAGCGCGCCGCTCGTGGCCGGGTCCGGGCTCCGAGCCCTCGTGTTCCCCGCGCTCGCCTCTGCGCACAGCGCCGACGTCGACCGCGCACATGTCGGGTCGCTGTCCCGCCAACGTGGCGCAACGCTTTTCCCTCTCGAGCGCCACGGTGGGGGCGGTTGCCGCGGACATGGCCCCTCCTCCCACCTCACAGGGGCAAACACAGCGAGCGAGAGAGAGAGAGAGAGGAAACAAGCATATAGGTTCCAGAAGAGAGAGAGAGAGAGAGAGAGAGGGAGAGAGAGAGAGAGATAGAGAAAGAGAGAGAGAGAGACAGAGTGGGAGAGAGAGAGAGAGAGTGTGGGAGAGCGAGAGAGAGAGAGAGAGAGAGAGACCACATCACAACGAGAGACAAACAAAGAGTGATAGAGAGAGGAGGGAGACGATAGAGGAATAGACAGCCAGAGTGGGAGAGTCATAGGGATAGAGAGAGAGAGAAAGAAAGAAAAGGGGGACACCGATGGCCAGCACGGGAGGCGTGGGCGGAAGCGGCAAGCAGTCCCTCGCGAAGATGGCGGCCTTCACGTCTGGGCGCCCCGCCTTTTCGTCCCCGCGTGTCGTAGTGTCGGTTTCGACCCTCGCTGTCGCTACCAAGTCATTCCTACCACCCTCGTCAAAATTAACCTCAAAAGTGACGTGGCTGAGCTGTTTGTGGGGAGATGCTGGACAGAGTTGCGGTGACTGCGAGGTACTCGTATGCGCCGCCCTTCCAATGTCGGTCATCATCGAACTTCCGAGTCGTTCCCGGTCAGACCTCTTTTGCCTTGGCCCCGACATTGGAGGGGCGTCTACCGACATTGAAGGGCGCGCCGACATCGCAGGGGCGTGGTCGCCATGTTTGAGGTTAAGTTTGACGAGGGTAGTAGCATTCGCTGTCGTTTTTGTTATCCACACATTGCGGGCAGGTTGATATGGTTTGGTATCTGGGATGTCCCAAAACGGGGGTAGTCACTTCCCTTCTAAGCATGCTCATCTTCGTCATATGTGTTGTTGTCGTCCCGCTTATTGTTGTCGTCGTCGTCCTGGTTATGATCGCGCTCCTTCTCCTCCTCCTCCTCCTCTTCTTCACCCGAGTTACATGCTGGTGCTCCGTCTGCCAATTCTCTAGCATCCGCTGCTCCTGATTTAGGTTCCCGCAGAATCTATAATCGATTCAGCGACTGGCCTTGTACTGGGGCTGGCTGGGTTGATCAACGTTCACGTCGATTTGCTTGAGCCCAATTGCTGTTTCTGAAGCCAACTTATCATTACGTTTTTCTGTAGTGCCTTCTGCCATGACCCCTACTGCTCAGTGCTTTTCGACATACCGCTATCTTCCGGTGCGGTGTCCACCACTAGCACTTTAAGAGCATGCGGTACCCAGGGTGCGCACTGCTCACTACCCAGTAGCGCGCACTCTCGGTGCACGCTTAATGTGTGCTCGCAAGTTTCGCCGCGATGCTCGATGAGCCCAGGCCCCGGTGTCTTGTCGCGAGACGCACTTCTTAGTTCAGCCACAGCCCTCAGCACCACCGCACGCCAGAACACTGCGTCAACCCCGACGCGTTTTCTGACCCCGTCGACCGTCGATAGGGCCCGACGTGCCCCGTGAGCCGCATCATGGGGCGACAGACGCAGCAGTGGGCTCCTACAGCTTGCGGGCCGCAGCGTTTGACAACCCTCCCAGTTGGGTTTCTTTTTTTTTTAAGTTGGGCGTCTTTTGGATTGGGCTTCGGCATCCTTCCGGTGCCCGATTTGGGAGAACGGCACAAACAGGATCGTTCGGAGTTCTGCGCCGCTTTTCTGGATCGGCTCGCGGCCCCCGGACTGCAGCTCTGGCGAGGCCCCCGGTGCCCTGCGCGCTCCAGGGAGGCGTAGCATCACGGATCCAAGAAGATCCGCGCGGGCCTCCGAAAGTGCAGGCCGATTTGATGCTGTTATTTTTAGACGCGTTGCTAGATCGCACGCCAGCACGTTGCTCGAGCTTCCCTGGGTGCCCTCAGCCTGTCAGCCTCCCCGCGCGGCACAGCAGCTGCTTTGTTAGCTGGCCCGGCTGGCCTGCGGCGCGCCAAGTAGCTAATGAGGCCTGTTTCCGCGCCCCGGACAGCTTCTGACTCCGCCTGCGCCTTCGCTCGCGGACGCGACCGAAAAAAGGAAAAAAAATAGATCGCACGCCAACGCGCACTCATCCGAGCGGTGATCAAGTTACAGCAAGGACAGGCAGCTGCGATGCGAATCGTCATGCTAACTTTGGGTCCCTGCAGGCGTCCGTTGAGGAAGATGAAATGGATCGGCGAAGGGAAAAGAGGAAGAGGAGACAAAGAAGGAAGCTGATCAAGACTAGGATAATGATGTCGAGGGAAGTGAAGAAGTTGGTGAGGGACATCGAGATTGGGATTAGTTTATGATGGTTATTGTGGCCCCCATTGAGACCTTGGACCGTCGGAAAATCTCTTCGGCTAGTCTTGTTTGGAGGCCTCCTGGATCCCTTTGGGGCCGCCTTTGGGCTACGCCGTAGCAAATTGGCTGAAAGTTCTCTCAAATCGCCGTGCGCATGGCATGTCTACTCTGTATGTCCATTCGACTGTTTCCACGCACGCCCTGCTATCCGATAACCGCACAATCCAAGCGTGTCTTGGAAATGAGTTTAGCACTACGACGACTCCTGGGCGACAGCGACTCCAGCTGCGATTGCGAACGACGTGTTGTTGTACGTATCCTGTGTCGGCACGCTGCTCACCAGTCTGACCCCTGGTCAGGCGAAACACGGAAGCTCAGCTATGGGGTTCTTTGATGAACGCGTTTGAACTCTTACTGTCGTTGTCTGCCATCCTTTTTTTTCTCTCTCTCTCTCTCTCTCGCGGTGTTGCGATATCCACGTACTGCACTGGGCGGATACATTACCACATGCTCACTGCGTGATGTTAAAGGTTTACGTGATCCTTCTTTGGTCGTGTTGGCCCCCTCTGTAGACCGTCCTGTCGGCCTCTTGGCGAGCTCCCGGCCGTCTTCGGCCTTTGCACAGAGGACGTCGTGGACCGTCTTGCGAAGTTCTGGGGGTACTCTTAAAGTCGGGCCTGTCCCCCTACAGGGGGATTTTCGACGAAAATAAAGAATACTCCCAAAATAGGAACAAATAATCCAAACATAGTCTGGGGACTATTTTTTGAGTATTTTCTGACATTTTTGGGGGGGGGGGGGGAGCATTTTTGGTGTATTTTTTTATTTTTCGTCGAAAATCCCCCTGTAGGGGGACACGCCCGACATAAGTCTTGGGCCGAAAGGCTTGGGAAGCAAGAGGCGCTGCTAGACCTGGGCTTCTGGATGACTCTGGCCGTGCTGGGCCTCTCCTGACCTCTCGTTTCGGCTCTGCCGGGGCCCCTTTGTGCACGTTTTGGGGCATCCGGGGGCCGATCTGGAGGACTGTTGAGCCATGCCGGCAGCTTCCCTTGGTGATCGTTTTCTGATTCCTCGTTCTGCCGATCGGCGCGGGCCCTCGCAGCTCCCCCTCTCCCCCCCCTCTCGGAGCAGATCTTGGCTGTGTCTGGCGCCTGCATCGAGCAGGTGGGGTCTCCCCAAGAGGAAGCACGGTTGCAAACAGTCGCACTAAGCAGAGGTCCGGAGCCAGAACCCTCCCCTTCCCCCCCCTTTCGCCCAGCGTCGAAACGCCGAATCAGAAAACGCTCACTTGCGCCCTCCCGAGACACTTTTGAGCCCGCCTCGGACGCCCCTCTCCGGGCCCCGCTGCTCTCCGGTCCGGTCGTGGACAGAGGACTCCCCTGGGGACGGGCTTGCGGGGTCAAAGGCTGCTGCGGCAGCAAATCATGGGAGCCTTGTGCATCCTCGTAAACTTGTCTTTCGCATCGACTCGCGTCGATTGGCGTCTGGGAGTCGATGAGATAGCGCCACTTTAGCATCGGTTAGTGCCGATTTCGCGTCGACTGGCGGCGATCAGCCTCGATTTAGCGTCGACTGGCGATTCGCACGAGCCGACAAGATGGCGTGGGAGGCTCCCATGAGTTGCCACCGAAGCTTCAGTGGGCCGGCGAGTGGCTTACTCTCCGAGCCGCGCCGCCGTCGCCATCGTCATGGCCCTGGCCCCCGTCCCCTTTCTGTCGGGGAGACGCAATACTCGAGTAAGCCAGAACTCGGGTTGCCGACTTTTTTTTTGACGAGCGCGTCTTGGATTTTGACGGTCCAGTTTTCGTGGGATGTCTGCAGCGTGAGCTCGCGTCAAATTTCAGATTGGGCCTCGTCATTTCTATGATGGCCCCGTCGGGCCAACCCGAGTCCCCCGTACCCGAGTCTTACGTCTCCCCGATTCTGCTCCGTCGACGCCGTCTCCCTCCGCCTCGGCGTCGGCGCCTCGGGCTCGCCGGGCCCACCCCGGAGCGGGCCCGCCCCGAGGCCGCCCCGCCGCGCGCGCGCCGGGGAACCCGCGCGCGCCCACGGCGCGCCCACGGCGCGGGCGCCATGCAGCCGCGCAGCGCGGGCAGGGGTGCCAGCCGCTCCCCGCCGCGGGGCGGCGCCGGGGCGCAGCGGCAGCCTGAGGGGGGAACGGTACGGCGCGGTGGAGACCCATGCCAAGGAGCACCCTCGAGGGGCCTGTCTGCCACCACCACCACCAGAAGGTGGAGGGGGAGGGGGTCCTCCTCCTCCTCCTCCTCCTCCTCCTCCTCCTCCTCCTCCTGCTACTCCTCCTGATACTCCTCCTCCTTCTCCTCCTCCTCCTCTTCGTCATCCTTTCCCTCCTCCTCCTCCTCCTCCTCCTTCCCCTCCCCAAGTTATGGTGGTGGTGGTGGACAGCAGGCCCACCAACCCTGTTTCCCTGACTCGCGGCGGAGAGCGCGAGGCTCCCACGCCAGGAATCAGCGGACGTGCTTTTGGGTCTCAGGGTCGGGCTTCTTGTGGACGGCTTCTCGTGGTCGGGCCCCTACTGCAGGCTCGCGCCGTCTCGACCGGCGGCGACCCCGCCGCCTGCGTGCAACTTGGAGCGCCGCTGGCGACCCAGAATCGGTCGATGTTGAACGATCTGACGTTTCGTTGCACGGCCGATCGTTCCAGGTCGAACAATCCACGGGGTGTCAGGAACCAGCGCCAAAGTCGGCACGACGCGATGCCGCTGCTCGTCGCTACGGCTGGATCATCTTCGAGCTCTTGGCCAGAACGCACCCAGCGAGAGGTCCACAGTGACACGGGTGCCAGGTTTTTTGACTTCATTTTAAAACCCCCGGATATTTTTCAAGACCGGGTTTTCACAGACACGATGCGTAGTTCTATATGTGCCAGCCATCATGCAGCCGCGGAGTCACGGGGGGGGGTTCTCGCCAGAGTCTTGTTCCCTGCTCCGCAGCCTTCTTCAGGGTTCGGCCTGAGTCCGCCGGAGGACGATAACGTTACTGAACTCCGCCTAGCGCTTGAGAAAAGTTCTATTCAGAGAAACCCGGGACGTCGTGAATACAGTCGGGGCATTGAGGAAGGAACCCTTTTCGTTGGGGAGGGGCTCGGTGTTCCTTAGTTGTTTCACAGCTCGCCTCAGGTTTTGCTTAGGG